TCAGGTTGCTCAGGGCCTCATCCAGCCTGGTCTTGAACACCTCCAGGGATCTATTTGTTTAATTAATTGTAATTAATATTATTTTAAATTACAATTAAAATTGTAATTTAATTACAATTAATTACATTAAATGTAAAAATTAATGTAATTAATATTCTTTTAAATTACAATTTAAAATTGTAATTAATATTCTATTCGTTTAATAAATCGTAAACTTTGATTGTAACCCTATTTGGGACTTAGCCATTTATTACAATTGGGGGCTCGTCTGGGAGTGCTTTGATTCCTGAATTCTGATTTGATCTAGGAGAGGCGCCCCACCATTTGGTGGCTCCTGTTCGAGTCAGGTCAGGACTAATGCCATCTTGAACCTGAATAAAGGTAAGCAAAGATTTTGATTTTTTTAAGAGCTCCCTTGCCAGCTGCAGCACTGTATTTTGCCCGTAATTCTGCGCACGAAGATCCGAATGAAGACAACGGAGTCATAAGTATTTAAGGCGTATACCATTCGGTTGGATGGGATTCGGTAGCCTGTGTGTGTAAGAGTGTGTTATAAATGAAGTCTCAACTCAATCTGAATTTAGTAATATTTATAAAACAAATTTTTCTAAAAGGTATAAAAGGCAAGTAAACAGCGCTGGGTGTGCGGGGAGTCTACGCTCCACCAACACGCACACACAAACATCAAACATTCTAAATATACAGAACATTGCTTTACATACTAAACCCGAGTACACCTATACATATGTACAATCAGGAAAGGTAACAAACAATCCTTTCAGTTCCATGACTTACTAAACGCGAGTACGCCGATACATATGTACAATCAGAAAAGGTCCTGTTTCCAGTGACTTTCTTGCTTTAAGCTGTCAAGCAACTTGACCTTCGGACCTTATGTATCCTGTTCTTCCCAGATCGAAGAAAAACATATCCATCTCCTTTTCAAGGCCAATAGGCCTGGGTCAAAAGGCACGTTCAGGTCTTGTTGCCTTTTTTTATCTTGAGGACACGCTCCCCTCTTATACCCTTCACCCCATAGCAGTTCTTTTCAAAACAACTTTTCATTGGACAAACAACTTTGCAAATAACAGCAATGGCAAACACCCAGAAACTTCCATGCCTTAACGGCTGGAGAACAAGCAACCAGAGACTGCATGGAATCTCCTGAATCACCCTTCTTTGTTCCCTCTAAACTCTTTTACATTCCTGATGGCCTTGTCATTAAGAGTCTAATGTTATCTCAACCACGGGGCTTTCCGACCCCCATGGCCACACTCCCAAATCTTCCCCTTCTTTATTAATATCAAGCAACTTCTCGACACGAATTACCACTCCATATATAGCATATGTCTTATTCTTAAAAGTCCAGGTATTTTGTGTTGAAAGCATTTGTGTAAGTGTAAGGGTTTGAAACTGTTATAAATGAGGTCTCAACTCAATCTGAATTTTGTAATATTTATAAAACAAATTTTTCTAAAAGGTATAAAAGGCAAGTAAACAGCGCTGGGTGTGCGGGGAGTCTACGCTCCATCAACACGCACACACAAACATCAAACATTCTAAATATATAGAACATTGCTTTACATACTAAACCCGAGTATGCCTATACATATGCACATTCAGAAAAGGTAACAAACAATCCTTTCAGTTCCATGACTTAACAGTCTCCATTTTCCACTCCTTTTCTTGATTACTAACAAGTCTCCATTTTCCATTCCTTTTGAGCGATGTGTCTCGCTTTAAGTTGTCAAGCAACTCGGTCTTCAGGCCTTATGTATCCCGTTCTTCCCAGATCGAAGAAAAGCATATCCATCTCCTTTTCAAGGCCAATAGGCCTGGGTCAAAAGGCACGTTCAGGTCAACAGGGGGCGCAACAGCAAAAGCCTTTGATGGCTGTAGCAGCAGAGGGGCCGATGGCGTAGCAGTCGGATCAGTAAAGGAGCCCGCAGCTCCCTCACTATCTGACAAGCCACATGTTAGTGATTGTGGCTCCACATGGCTCTTTAAGGCCTCAGAGACTGCTCGCCAGGTGCCAAGCAATCCCAGTGCAACCCTGCCATTTTTAGTTGCAGAGTCCCACACCTTGACCTCAGTTTGGTCCCATATTTCAGGCTCATAATCTGTCCGATTGTTAATAAGGAGAATAAGCTGTAAGGTTACCAGGACAGTCTTTGTTCCTAAGGACGTATGATTCCCCATAATGCGCAACTGCTTACCAGCGAGAGGCAGTTGTGTGCACGGGTCTGCTTCTCTCAGCTCTAGCTTCTCTCCAGCTCCAGTGCGCCTGTTTCCAGCAACTTTCTGTACGAGCTTCTCTGAGCAGTTTGCTGAGTCTGGCCGAACCTATCTTCTTGAGGCAATCAAAGTGCCTGTTCCCGTCCTGGTCTCCATTCTGCCAGCCTGTTCCTCTTCACTTCTTTTTCCTGCTTCTTTATTGATGTAACTTCATCGTGTTGCCTTTTTTTTTGTCTTGAGGGCAGGCTCCCCTCTTATGCCCTTCTCTCCACAGCAGTTCTTTTCAAAACAACTTTTAATTGGTCAAACAACTTTGAATGTAACAACAACAGCAAACACCCAGAAATTTCCATGCCTTAACGGCTGGAGAACAAGAAACCATCTGGAGAACAAGAAACCATCTGGAGAACAAGAAACCAGAGACTGCATGGAGTCTCCTGAATCACCCTTCTTTGTTCCCTCTAAACTCTTTTATATTCCTGATGGCCTCATCGTTAAGAGTCTAATGTTATCTCAACCACAGGGCTTTCTGACCCCCATGGCCACATTCCCAAATCTCTCCCTTCTTTATTAATATCAACCATTTTCTTGACACTAATTACTACTCCATATATAACAAAACCAAGTGGAATGAGTCACTCCACGAAGAACACAGAGACAATACCTGTTTGGTTGGTTATCATTCTAAATTATATTCTTGTGGTATGAATGAGATGTGCTAGAGGCCTCTCTGTGTGATTGCATGATTGTGCTGTGGGAGTGAGACGCAGCGTCGCTGCGAAGCGAGTACGGAGTTCCGATCCGTGGTTCCGTATTCTCCACAAGGGGAGCGGCCGGAGATGAACAAAGTGCATGACAGACCGAAAAGAAGTGCTGTTTCATCCAAGTTTTGAGTGGTGGTGCCCAATATATGGGCCTGGCGGTGTATCTTGTAATCCTATTTTTGCTCTTAAACGCTTTGAATGTGACAAGAAAAAAGGCAGGAGCATTATCTAAGTAACTAACAGTTGAGAAGTGTTGGTGTATTTTCTGTGGTGTGTGGTCAGTTTCCCAAGCACTGGAGAGGGGGAGGGGGCTGATTGATTATCAAAGTGGTAGAACGGAGAGAGTCATTTCTTTGGTGGTTTGGGATTGAGCCCTGGGAATTAGTTAAGAAGGGGGAGAGCGAATTTATTTAGGCGTCAATACCCTTTTACACCCCCACATTGACGGATACACAGGAGTGATTCCTTGTTTTGTATGGGCTTACTAACAAAGTGCATGAGAAAAATTGGCATTTGGCTTGAAATTTGGTCCTGTTGAATTTTGTGGAAAAGGTGGTAATGACTGTCTAGAAGACGGAAGTCTGTGTGCTTCAGGTGTTTTCCCGAAGTCCCGAGGATTTGTGATTGGAACGGGGCTCATAAAGAATCTGAAATAGTAAAGTTTCTACGTGGGAAGAAGAGTTTAATCCCAGAGAATTGGGATATTGGGGAAGAAGATTAGGAAAAGATAGTAAAAACCTGCAATAAAAAGGTCTGTGTAGAAATTGAAACAAGGGGCAGTAACTAGTAAGGAATAGTAATAAATAAATAAATAAATAAACAAATAAAAGGGAATGGGAAATCAAGGAAATAAGTAATATCCAAAACAAAGACGTTTTAAAGAAAGCCTCCTTGGGTGCATATTGGCACATTCGAAGAACTAGGGGCACAGAAAGCAAGAGGACTTTCACTAAGTATTGCAATCAATGGTGGCCACTATATAAGCTAAATGACCTCTTTATGGATCAATCAACTATAACACTACCTTGGAATTAACATTGTTTTTGAGGAGAGAAGGAAAATGGGATGAAATGTATAGCATCTTAGAGGGAAAAGGTATGGAATTAAGTTGGACTCTGACTTAGCCTTTGGTGTTGGCATTAGAATAGTACAGGCTGGAGAGAAATAAAGGAAGGGTTAAAAGAGTTGTTGAAGGTGTTAAAGGTGTGGCATGTAGTATGTAACAGAGCTGTTTGAAGTTGAATGAGCAGGGAAAGAGGATGTAGGAATGTTAATAGTTCTGCCTCAACTGGAGGCTGAGATCTCAAAATCACGGGTGTGAGCTCTTTGGGGCAGAGGGACCATGAGGGGTCAGAGAGTTGTCACGGAAACAGAAAAACAGTTAACCCTTAAAAGAACCTGAGTTTATGAGTGAGCTCAGATTGCCAATGGGACCGCTCAGGGTACTGTTGACTGTTTAATTCCCCTGACAGACCTCCCACTGAGACCATAATTACCCCGGAAATAATGGACGATAAATACCAAAATCTGGTAAAACTGGGAATTGAGAATCTGTTTCAACAAGGTCCAAAAGAAACCCCTATGGAATTTTTGGTCCAACTTTTAAATGCAACGGAAAACAAAACAAACAAAAGAAACTGGAGAAAATAGGGGCTAAGTTAGAACAAGGAAAATGGACACTGCCAGACAGGCAAGAGATATTGCCAAAAGCTGATGTGAGGCAAATATTGGGACGTTTGCATGCACAAACACATTGGGGTACAAAGGTGTTAAGTGATTATTTACTAAAACAATTTCTTTCATCGTTTTTTTTTGATATAGCAAAGCAAATTACACAAGGTTGCTTAACTTGTCAGAAGATAAATAAGAAAGTGTTTGGACAAGCAGCCATGGGAGGGAGAAAAACAGCTTATAGGCCTTTCCAGAAAGTACAAGTTGATTTCACTGAATTGCCCAAGGTAGGGAGGATAAAATATCTATTGGTAATAGTAGATCATTTAACACAATGGGTAGAAGCTTATCCCGTAGCATGAGCTACGGCATAAATGGTGGTAAAAATTCTATTAGAACACCTGATACCTAGTGTCGTGGTTTAACCCGGCCGGCAGCTAAACACCACGCAGCCGTTCGCTCACCCTCCCCCTTCCCTCTCTGGGACGGGGGAGAGAAATGGAAAGTGAAGCCCGTGAGTTGAGATAAAGACAGTTTAATAAGACAGGAAAATAATAATAACAATAATAACAAACAATAATAACAATAATAACAATAATAATAATAACAATACAATGATGACAATAGTACTACCACTAATAATATGTACAAACAAGTGATGCACAATGCAATTGCTCACCACCCGCTGACCGATGCTCAGCCTAACCCCGAGCAGTCCAGCCCCCTCCCCCCGGCTAGCCACCCCTATATATTGTTTAGCATGACGTCAGATGGTATGGAATACCCCTTTGGCTAGTTTGGGTCACCTGTCCCGGGTCTGTCCCCTCCCAGTGATTAAGGAGGCATTGGGGAGGCAAGGACAATCCTCAGACAAGGACTGTATATCTCGAAACAAGATACTGGAACTCATGATAAGGAAGCGGCAGACGGACAGAGAAACAAATGTAAGGACTATAAATCTCAAAACTGGACATTGGAATTCATTATAAAGATACAACAAATGGAAGAATTAGCAACAACCAGCGCTTGCAATTAAGAAACATGCGAACTCAGCAGATTCCTGACCAAAGGTGGAAAGTACACTGTGAGGAAGACTCGGGGTCTTCCTCCCCAAGACCCCTGCCCACGTCCCAAAGACCCCTGCCCACAATTCTTGGGAGGCTCTACGCAGGCGCAAGGTGCCAAAAGGCTAATTAGCATGAGAAGCGAGGGAAGGCGGGGATAGGTAATGAATATGTATAGGCGCTTGTAGAATACTGATAGATTGATTGTATAAATTCAAGACTGCTTTCCGCTTTGGGTATGCACGATAGGTGAAGAGATCCCCCGTGCATCCAGTGATGCAATAAAGAATATACCACTCCAAGGAATTTCGGCTTCGATCTTTGAATCACCAGCTCTTACTGCACCCCCAGCCTGCTCGTTGGCAGGACAGAGCAAGAAGCTGAGATGTCCTTGGCTTAGTATAAGCACTGCTCTGCAACAATTAAAACATCGGGGTGTTATCAGCACTCTTCTCATCCTAAGCCAAAACACAGCATTCCACCAGCTACTAGGAAGAAAATTAATTCTGTTCTAACTGAAACCAGGACATCTATCCACCCCTTATTCCATACCATTTATGTCATGCTCAGGTTACACTCTTTTTCATACATTCTAATTAGTCACCTATAGTAATCATGGTAGTGATAACATACAGTATTATATACTAATTAACATGGTACAATTCAGTTCATGGGCTATTCTCACCCAGTATTAAATCTCCTTGAGGTACACACCGGACCTCTCCGTTCTTTTGCATCACCCACCAAGTGTATCCAGGTCCCTGAGCGAAAGCAATTCCACGAATGGGTTTGCCTTTTCCTGAGGCAGGAGTAGCCCAGACTGTTTTACCCAGCATATTTCTTACATGCACTACAGGAACTTTATCCCCATCTACAGTACGTAACAGGTTTGATTGGGCAGGTCCGGCTCAGTTGGCAGATCCCCTAGTATTGACTAACCAGGTGGCCTTTGCCAAATGCATATCCCAATTTTTGAATGTCCCAGAGCCCATTGCTTTCAAGGTAGTCTTTAACAGTCCATTGTATCGTTCAACTTTCCCGGAGGCTGGTGCATGATAGGGGATGTGATACACCCACTCAATACCATGCTCTTTGGCCCAAGTGTCTATAAGATTGTTTCGGAAGTGAGTCCCATTGTCTGATTCTATTCTTTCTGGGGTGCCATGTCACCATAGGACTTGCTTTTCAAGGCCCAGGATAGTGAACCCATCAGTGAACAGGGCATATTTCTTTTCATTCTCTGGTAAATGGTTATACAGTGGGGCTTCTTCAGCACGACCCACCTCCTCCTCAGATGATATCCCAAAGTATTTGCCTTCTGGCCAGTCCATAATCACTTCCAATATTCCTGGGCGACTGGGGTTTCCTATTCGAGCCCGCTGAGTAATCAGTGCAACCCACTTGCTCCATGTAGCATCAGTTGCATGATGCGTAGAGGGGACCCTTCCCTTGAACATCCAGCCTAGTACCGGCAATCGGGGTGCTAGGAGGAGCTGCGCTTCAGTACCGACCACCTCCGAAGCAGATTGAACTCCTTCATATGCTGCCAATATCTCCTTTTCAGTTGGAGTATAGCGGGCCTCGGATCCTCTGTATCCCCGACTCCAAAACCCCAGGGGCCGACCTCGAGTTTCCCCAGGTTCTTTCTGCCAGAGGCTCCAGGTGGGGCCGTTCTCCCCGGCTGCAGTGTAGAGCACATTCTTTACATCTGGTCCTGTTCGAACTGGCCCTTTATAGCTCGATGGCATTACAGTACACTTTGCACCGGTGTCTACTAAAGCCTTATACTTCTGTGCGTGTGATGTGCCAGGCCATCGAATCCACAGAGTCCAATAAACTCGATTGTCCCTTTCCTCCCCCTGGCTGGAGGCAGGGCCTCCCTAATCCTGGTCAGAATCTTCTTCGTTTCTGTGTTTGAAGGACTGTCTGCTGGAAGTTGGAGCAGCAAACTTTTCAGAGAATCCCTTTTTCCCAATTGTTTTCTTTTGCAACTCACGTACCCGTGCCTCTAGGGTCGCAGTAGATTTTCCATCCCATTTTCTCATGTCCTCTCCATGGTCTCGTAAGTAAAACCACAGGGTGGCACGGGGTGAGTACCCACCATATCGTCTTCCTTGTGTGGATGAACGCTTACCCCTGACAGCTGAGACACTGCTTTGTACAGGTGCGGAGGAGAATAATCTCTCTTCAAGTTTGTGAAACTTTTCAGAAAGTTTCTCCCAAGTGCTCTCTTTTGGTTGGTGGACACTGGTTAGTTCAGGTGGGGAGGAAGATAGATTCTCTTTAAGTTGGTGGAACTCTTCAGAAAGTTTCTCCACAGCTGAGACACAGGCCTATAAGGAAGAGGAGAGACTTTCTTCGTACTGCTGGAGTTGTTTAGCCACTTCATCCACTGTGGGTTCCTCATCCTCTTTCCAGGCCATTATTGCCAATGAGCTGGCATATGATGATGGTGCACTCCGTACAAACTTCCGCCACATGGGTCGTGTACACCCGACTTCATCTGGATCTTTGGATGTTTGTCTGAGGTCTGGATCCTCATAAATCACTTCCCGTACGGCTAATTCTCTCAGGTACTGGATTCCCTTCTCCATAGTGCTCCACTTGCCTGGTAGACATAAAAGTTCTTCCTTGAAGGGATACCTTTCCCTCACAGCTGAGAGGAGACGCCTCCAGAGGCTGGTGGATTGTGCTCCATCTGCAATTGCTTTGTCAATGCCGGCGTCTCGAGCAAGGGATCCCAGCCGCCTGGCTTCCCTGCCGTCTAATTCCACACAATTGGCTCCAGTGTCCCAGCATCGGAGCAGCCAGGTGACAAGCTGCTCACCTATACAACGACCAAAATCTTTTCGCACATCTCGTAGCTCCCGATGGTATAGGTTTCAGGTAGTTACTGTTGATTTTTCGGCATCCTCATCTTCCTCCTCCTGAATCCTTGATGGCCCAGCATCGTCGTCATCTCCGTCGTCCCTAGATTTGGCAGAAGACTCTCTGCGTTCTAAACGACCTGAATCTCTATACCATTTTTTTCACCTTCTCTACAGGGGCAGCTTGCACTGCTACTGCTCGTTTCTCTGACACAGTCAAAGAAGCTGGAGCAGTTGCAGGAGCTGGGACTGGAGAGACTGCAGGAACTGGAGCTGGAGCAGTTGCAGGAGCTGGGACTGGAGCGGCTGCAGGAGCTGGGACTGGAGCGGCTGCAGGAGCTGGGACTGGAGCAGTTGCAGGGGCTGGGACTGGAGCGGCTGCAGGAGCTGGGACTGCAGCGGCTGCAGAGTCCACCGTAGGGGTCACAGTGGCCATTGGATCTATCACGGGACTTGGAGTCGCCACTGGGTCTGTCACTAAGTTGATAGCAGTATCCATGGCAGCTCGATAGGCATGAGCCAGGCCCCAGCATGTTACAATGATTTGTGTCACTTTGGAACTGCCAGAATCATGACACCTTTTTTTCAAGCATTCTGCCTGTTTTTGAGGATTTTGCAGTTGTTCAGGGGTGAATTTCCAAAACACTGGGGGTGCCCACTGCTCTAGATGCCTGCCCATATCCTCCCATACTCCCTGCCACCCACAACTATACTGCCTCCGGGCAGATCTCCGGATGAGCTTCCTAAGTAGTTGTTTAACTTTAAGCAGAATCTGAAGCGCATTCAGGAGGCAGAACAACAAGACTATGGTGGTCTGAGTATCCCAAGAATATTCAATATCTTGGAGAGCTATTGTAATAAGCTCGGAGGATAAGAGGGTGGTGAAGGAGGAAGGGAGAGTGATCAAGGAGGATACAGGGGTGGTGAAGGAGAAAGGGAGAGTGATCAAGTAAGAAAAAATATCTTCCCCTTTCCCCTCCACAGATTGACTCCCTAATGAAAAAAGGCAACAGATATAATTGCTAATAGTTTCCAAAATACAGTTTCCAAAGTATATAGTCGAAGATGTTACTGAGTACAAATACCAGGTTAGAGTCATGGCCAGATATTTCATTATCTCATAAGCCACTGATACAACACACAGTACCATAATGGTCTGAAACCAGGGCCCGGAGAGGACAAACAACATGACAGAGAGCACATACGGAAAATAACGTGCTATAATACTCAATTTGGAAAACAGGCGCAGCAGACTTGAGATTAAAGCAATCAGCATTATGACAAGTGACTATTAAGCAGGTGTAATACTTATACCAATTTTAGTTTAACACACTCTGGTCAGATCTGCCGTTATCTCAACCTTTCGGGCCCCACGTTGGGCGCCAAAAAGACTGTCGTGGTTTAACCCGGCCGGCAGCTAAACACCACGCAGCCGTTCGCTCACCCTCCCCCCTCCCTCTCTGGGACGGGGGAGAGAAATGGAAAGTGAAGCCCGTGAGTTGAGATAAAGACAGTTTAATAAGACAGGAAAATAATAATAACAAAATAATAATAACAATAATAATAATAATAATACAATGGTGATAATAGGAAAGTAATAATAATATGTACAAACAAGTGATGCACAATGCAATTGCTCACCACTCGCTGACCGATGCCCAGCTTAACCCCGAGCAGTCCGGCCCCCTCCCCCCGGCTAGCCACCCCTATATATTGTTTAGCATGACGTCAGATGGTATGGAATACCCCTTTGGCTAGTTTGGGTCACCTGTCCTGGGTCTGTCCCCTCCCAGCTCTTACTGCACCCCCAGCCTGCCCGTTGGCAGGGCAGAGCAAAAGGCTGAGATGTCCTTGGCTTAGTATAAGCACTGCTCTGCAACAATTAAAACATCGGGGTGTTATCAGCACTCTTCTCATCCTAAGCCAAAACACAGCATTCCACCAGCTACTAGGAAGAAAATTAATTCTGTTCTAACTGAAACCAGGACACCTAGATATGGGATAATCCAGTACATTGATTCTGATCAGGGTACACACCTTACTTCTAAAATAATAAAATTATTATGTCAATCATTAGGTATTCAGTGGGAATACCATACTCCATGGTACCCACAAAGCTCAGGGAAAGTAGAAAGAATGAATCAAACAATAAAACAACAATTAGCTAAATTAATGATCTAGACACAAATGCCTTGGACCAAATGCTTACCGTTGGCACTTTTAAACATAAGAACTAAACCACATAGTGAGACTGGATTATCACCATATGAAATGTTATATGGTATGCCTTATTCTCAAGGGATGCCTCTAGGGAACAATGTAGTTGAGGATCGTAGCATCCAGAAATATATAATTACTGTTATAAATGAGGTCTCAACTCAATCTGAATTTTGTAATATTTATAAAACAAATTTTTCTAAAAGGTATAAAAGGCAAGTAAACAGCGCTGGGTGTGCGGGGAGTCTACGCTCCACCAACACGCACACACAAACATCAAACATTCTAAATATATAGAACATTGCTTTACATACTAAACCCGAGTATGCCTATACATATGCACATTCAGAAAAGGTAACAAACAATCCTTTCAGTTCCATGACTTAACAGTCTCCATTTTCCACTCCTTTTCTTGATTACTAACAAGTCTCCATTTTCCATTCCTTTTGAGCGATGTGTCTCGCTTTAAGTTGTCAAGCAACTCGGTCTTCAGGCCTTATGTATCCCGTTCTTCCCAGATCGAAGAAAAGCATATCCATCTCCTTTTCAAGGCCAATAGGCCTGGGTCAAAAGGCACGTTCAGGTCAACAGGGGGCGCAACAGCAAAAGCCTTTGATGGCTGTAGCAGCAGAGGGGCCGATGGCGTAGCAGTCGGATCAGTAAAGGAGCCCGCAGCTCCCTCACTATCTGACAAGCCACATGTTAGTGATTGTGGCTCCACATGGCTCTTTAAGGCCTCAGAGACTGCTCGCCAGGTGCCAAGCAATCCCAGTGCAACCCTGCCATTTTTAGTTGCAGAGTCCCACACCTTGACCTCAGTTTGGTCCCATATTTCAGGCTCATAATCTGTCCGATTGTTAATAAGGAGAATAAGCTGTAAGGTTACCAGGACAGTCTTTGTTCCTAAGGACGTATGATTCCCCATAATGCGCAACTGCTTACCAGCGAGAGGCAGTTGTGTGCACGGGTCTGCTTCTCTCAGCTCTAGCTTCTCTTCAGCTCCAGTGCGCCTATTTCTAGCAACTTTCTGTACGAGCTTCTCTGAGCAGTTTGCTGAGTCTGGCCAAACCTATCTTCTTGAGGCAATCAAAGTGCCTGTTCCCGTCCTGGTCTCCATTATGTCAGCCTGTTCCTCTTCACTTCTTTTTCCTGCTTCTTTATTGATGTAACTTCATCGTGTTGCCTTTTTCTTTTCTTTTTTTTTCTTTTTCTTCTTCTTTCTTGAGGGCAGGCTCCCCTCTTATACCCTTCTCTCCACAACAGTTCTTTTCAAAACAACTTTTAATTGGTCAAACAACTTTGAATGTAACAACTGAGGTCAACTGCATGAAGTTTAACAAGGCCAAGTGCCGGGTCCTGCACCTGGGGCGCAATAACCCCAAGCAGAGCTACAGGCTGGGAGATGAGTGCTTGGAGAGCTGCCAGGCAGAGAAGGACCTGGGAGTGATGGTGGACAGTCAGCTGAATATGAGCCAGCACTGTGCTCAGGTGGCCAAGAAGGCCAACGGCATCCTGGCTTGTATCAGAAACAGTGTGGCCAGCAGGGCTAGGGAGGTGATCGTCCCCCTGTACTCGGCTTTGGTGAGGCCACACCTCGAGTACTGTGTTCAGTTTTGGGCCCCTCGCTACAAGAAGGACATCGAGGTGCTTGAGCGGGTCCAGAGAAGGGCGACGAAGCTGGTGAGGGGCCTGGAGAACAAGTCCTACGAGGAGCGGCTGAAGGAGCTGGGATTGTTCAGCCTGGAGAAGAGGAGGCTCAGGGGCGACCTTATTGCTCTCTACAGATACCTTAAAGGAGGCTGTAGTGAGGTGGGGGTTGGCCTGTTCTCCCACGTGCCTGGTGACAGGACGAGGGGGAATGGGCTAAAGTTGCGCCAGGGGAGTTTTAGGTTAGATGATAGGAAGAACTTCTTTACTGAAAGGGTTGTTAGGCACTGGAACAGGCTGCCCAGGGAGGTGGTGGAGTCACCATCCCTGGAAGTCTTTAAAAGACGTTTAGATGTAGAGCTTAGGGATATGGTTTAGTGGGGACTGTTAGTGTTAGGTTAGAGGTTGGACTCGATGATCCTGAGGTCTCTTCCAACCTAGAAATTCTGTGATTCTGTGATTCTGTGATTCTGTGATTCTGTGATTCTGTGAACAGCAAACACCCAGAAATTTCCATGCCTTAACGGCTGGAGAACAAGAAACCATCTGGAGAACAAGAAACCGGAGACTGCATGGAGTCTCCTGAATCACCGTTCTTTGTTCCCTCTAAACTCTTTTATATTCCTGATGGCCTCATCATTAAGAGTCTAATGTTATCTCAGCCACGGGGCTTTCCAACCCCTATGGCCACATTCCCAAATCTCCCCCTTCTTAATTAAAATCAACCATTTTTTCTGGACACGAATTACTACTCCATATATAACATTACAATTGGAAGGAGATTACAAGGGCTAAGAGAAATTTGAATGATGGCTCAAACACCACCTTTAGGATTTGCTATTCATAAGATACAACCAGGAGACAAGGTCTGGTTTAAAGGAAGAACCTGGAGGGAAGAATCACTGAACCCCCGATTGGGAGGGACTGTACCTTGTTTTACTTACTACTGAAACAGCTGTGAGAACAGCAGAAAGGGGTTGGACCCATGCATCCAGAATAAAAGGACCAGTAACTACCAAAACTTGGAGGGTTGAGTCCGCTTCTGGGGAACTGAAACTAAAGCTAAAGAAGAACTAATATTCTGGCAACGAGAATGAATTAAGGACGCCAAATAAAGGGGACAAGCCTGAAGGGAGGAAAGGGAGAAGGCAAGACCAGGGCAGGACCCTCCACTGCAGTGCGTATGGTCTACCGAGGGAGGCAACCCCTATGGGTATTGACTGCCGAGTGAGAGGGCCTCGACCGGACTTCTCCCACACTAAGGGCAGGTTGTCCTGAGAAAATAACATAAGAACCTTTTTTTAAACCTATATAAAATTGTGATTCGTTTTCCAGGAGCTGGATCACCCTGACAGGCTGAACGGTAACACAAGCCTGAATTGACCATGAAAGCGGGCCCAACCCCTTGATTGAAGGCGTTTGCCTATTATGATCCAGCTACATGGGCAGAAGACAGATCCTGGGGCTATAGGACCCCAATGTATGTATTTAATAGAATAATTAGGTTACAAACTGTAATAGAAATAGTTGTAAGTAAAACCGGAGATGCACTTGGATTAATTGCAAAGCAAAATACCAAGATGAGACCTGCTTTGTATCAAAATCGCTTATCCTTGGATTATTTACTAGCACAAGAAGAAGAAGTCTGTGGAAAATTTGACCTTAGTAATTGCTTTTCAGAGATTGATGATGAGGGTGTTTCTTCCTAGTAGCTGGTAGAATGCTATGTTTTGGCTTAGGATGAGAAGAGTGCTGATAACACCCCGATGTTTTAATTGTTGCAGAGCAGTGCTTATACTAAGCCAAGGATGTTTCAGCTTCACACTCTGTCCTGCCAATGGGCAGGCTGGGCGTGCAGCAAGAGCTGGGAGGAGGGCCGGACTGCTCGGGGTTAGGCTGGGCATCGGTCAGCGGGTGGTGAGCAATTGCATTGTGCATCACTTGTTTTGTACATATTATTATTAGTAGTACTATTATCGTCATTATTGTCATTATTTTTATTGTTATTATTATTTTCCTGTCTTAATAAACTGTCTTTATCTCAACCCACAGGCTTCACTTTCCAGTTTCTCTCTCCCATCCCAAAGAAGGAGGGGGGGAGGTGAGCAAACCGCCATGTGGTGTTTAGCTGCCTGCTGGGTTAAACCACAACAGAAAGAAAAGCTGTAAATGAACTTGTAAAAGAAATGAAGAAAATTGCACATGTCCCAGTTCAAACTTGGAATGGAATCGATCTAAGAGGATTACGGGAGGGGGCTTTATGGGTGGTGATTGGTTTGCTAAAATAAGGATGGTTGTATTGGGGATCTGTGGAGGATTGTTAATAATTCCATGTTTAATACCTTGTATTACCAAACTAATACACTCGATTATACAAGGAATGCAAATATCTGTGGTACCTGTTGACCCAGAACCAGGGAAAGTGAAAACCCATTCCCTGATGATAATAAAAACAAAGATCCAAAATTGGTATCAATTCGGCAAGTATTGACTCGATTGGAAAGGAAAACACGAATCAATACCATGAGAAAGGAGATGGGGGATTGTGAAATGTGTTCATCTGATTCGTGTCAATATGGAACAATGCTAGGGCCACATGGTATGATGAATGTGACCTTCTGCCTTACATACCCTTGTATAACCACAAGTCTAAGAAAAACAGAGTGGTTAATGTATATAATTCTTGTATCTTGCAAAGGAATGTTTTAGCAATTCGTGTCAATAGAGAGCTTGAAGGGAAACGTATTTGTAGGCTTTTCCTTGAAGTCTCTGATATCTGAGGGGTTTCAGAATAACTGCTAACTATTATGACTATTGCAGGGGACACTATGCAAGTTTCTGATATCTGGCCAGGAGATTAAGGAGACAGGGAGAGCTGAAGAACAACTAAAAGACAAAGCTTGCAGGGGACTCTGCACAAGTCTCTGACATACAGACAAGTTGGACAAAGGAGAAGGACAAGAGGGAGGAAGACTCTGAGCCTTCAGCACGAGAGACCCCCACAGACCCCCAGAGGGATCACCGGAGACTGATACGCATGCGACAGTGGGAGGGTTTGGATTCCGGGAACTAATTATAATAACCCTGCCTTTTCTAGAAGTAGTAAGGAATATGTATTAGCCTAGGAGCATAAAAATCAGCTGCTTGATGTAACTGGTGTGCGTCTTGGTGGAGCAGAGACTCCCGGCG